GAGTGTGCAACTCCAGCTCCAGAGAGTTGATCTCAACAACCTTCAGCAAATAAAAGGAGAGTCACCTAAATTATTGTGGGATTATTTATCTGGGATAATTTAGTCAAGTATTGAGAAAAAAAAACAGATAATGCTGTACTGGTTTATATCATATGAATACACAGTAGAACAATTTAAAGCTTAAAGATAAACTACTCTTTTTTTCAGTTGTTGCTTTAAATGTTAACTTTTCTTTTCTGACCTTCTCCTGCAAACACTCCACCATGTTGTGGGCATAAGTCGTCATGGTCCTGTAAAACTTAAGCTGCTTCTCTGAGGAGCTTTCCTCCAGATTCTCCAACGAGGTTTTAGCACCCTCAACATCGCCCTCCATCCTTCTGAGCTCTGCCTGGCGTGCTCTGTACACCTCCTTCAACGAATCAAGTCTAGGAAGAAAAAAAATATTACAAAGTGGAGGAGTTAAGTGTACAATGGGGGGAAATGTGTGTTGCATGTTTTGGCAGCATGCAGTAATAAAAGCACAGTGTATAAATGTAATGTTTATTGGCCTCTGGAATCATGCTAATAGGAATTACTACTGCTGTACAGTGTATCATTTAAACATTTAATTCTAATCTGTTCTGTCATTAATATTTTAAATCGTTATAGTGTGTGGAATAAAGAGCAAACTAACTTTCCAGCGATCCTTCTCTTGACCGTTGAGACAGTGACAGGAGGAAGCATCTTTGGAACTTTGACTCCTGCAGATTTCTTCTTCTGTCTTCCTCTATCTCGCCTGCTTATGCTACTGCTGCTGTAGCTGCTGGACTCACTGCCAGATGGGCTCTAATGAAAAATATCAGGATAAAAGGAGGATAAAAAGACAAAAAGCAATGACAGCAGAACAATGCAAAAAGACACGCATAAAGGTATAAAACAGGTGCATAACTTACAGTAACAGCATTTATAGATATGTGCTAACAGAATAATGAGAATCAAAAACAAGATGTTAATGGGCCCTCATACCTGCTCCCCTGGTCGTCTTTTGACTCCCTTCCCAATTTGTGTCTCTTCCCAGAGTTCCTGCTCCTCACCATCAGTCCCTGACCGACTGCTATCACTTTCTCCTAAAATACACAGAATAGGACATTTAAAATTCACGGTTTGTTTAAAATCCATACGAACTATTCAGACAGGCCTATTATGACAAATTTCACCTTTCTTTTTTAACTTAAACAGCTTTCACATTTTCATGCTTCCCCACCGTTCTTCTTCTCTCTACACCTGCCATTTCTCTCTCTCTTTCTCACCTCCTCATACTATTTTTTCTGTATCCCGCCTTCTCATACCAAGTTTCTCAGCAATTCTTTCCCTGATGCTCCTCATCCGTGGGGCAAACTCGATTCTCCTCTCGTGATCATCCAGCTCATTATCATCATCATCGACTCTGTCATCTTCATCCTCCCTGCTGTAGTGATCTGGTGTGCTGCCAGCTGAACTCTGGCCATCTCTACTGAGGGGAATGAATTCTTTCTGGGTTCGATTGGCACGACGCCGTCTCTTGGCTGCCTCGATCTCTCTAGCATTGGGGATATTTACTGCAGGCACAAACAAAGCAGAAGAAATTTAAAAACACAGCCATGAATCCAGATTAACAACTGAGGATTTTAATCATATCATGTAGCCCTAACAAACTGAGAGTCCTTCTCTTTGACAAAACATACCGGGCGTATAAGAAGAACTGCTAGAGTCTGAGGCTGAGCTGGCTGAAGGAGATCCCACTCCACGTTCATCACTATCACTGTCATCATTGCTCCGATTATCCTTGTCATCATCATCATCATCTTCGTCGTCATCATCCACAGAATGTGGTGACGCCTGACTGCTATAATCTTGCCTGGGTGAAGCAGATGATGAGACAGCACCACCAGCCCCTGAAGGTGGAAGAGAGAACAGGAAGCCATTGATTTTAGCTAAAAGACATAAAAATGTTTATTCTCTCTACTCACCAAAAATGCGTTCTGGTATACATTAGATATTGCAAAGAATCTATATATGTAAACCCTTAACAGTATAATCTGAAGATTAGAAAGGATTAGAAAAATAGTCATTTTGGTTTATTTATGACCAAAAGGGGTTTGAAAACACATCAATTTCTGTCAAATAAGTTACCACAGCCTCATTGCCTCTACCAAAATCATCTCTAAACTGCAGAGACTAAACCAGGAAAAAACCTGTGAACACATGGATCTGTTGCTGTCACTTCCCTACTCATCACCTCCTATGGAATGGATGCATTCTTTTGGATACACATATCACACCTGTCCAGTGAGTGTATTTAATGCACATATACTGTATTCAAGATCTGTTTCTAAGAGTTCTTGTTCCCATCATGGACCTACCTGTGCTGACGATGGTCTTGGCAGGCGGAGCCTCCTTCTTCCTAATTTGGAACAGAACTGCTTTCTCAGATGACTTCTTCAATTTAAACGTAGACTCCTCAGCTATGAGAAGGTGAAACAAACCAGAATTATATGCCGTTACATTGGGCAATCACCGCCAACCGCCATCCTCTGTTAGGATGATCAGACCACTACAAACTAAATGTTGGGTATTCCAGCTGCAGCTCTGTTAGATAATCCTCACTGGGTTTCGATATGGATTCCCCCATAGATCAGCTTTTCTTCATAAGTCACACGTTTTTAGGGGGGGTCGTATGTTTTTACTTTTGCAAAGTAGAGCCACACAAAATGTCTCAATATGTGGGAAATGGTGTCTATTGTCACCTTCGGGGCCAATAAAGTAAAACACATGGGGTTCAAGAGGCATCTGGGCAGATGATGTGGACAGATGACAGGGAAAACACTGACAGTGGATAAAATCATTTAGGAACTCTATGAACTGTCACTGTATCTTTGAGGTTTAGGTTCTTTACCTCTTTTACCAACAGATAACAGGAGATTAATATTTCCAAATTCTTAACGTTGCTCTAACGTTGTCAGTGAGTTGAGGAGTCAAAGATATTTACCTTAAAGCGCCTCGTTTACATTTACTTACCTTCCTTATCATCGGAGAAACTCAAAACAGAGGTTTCTTTCTTTTTGTTCCCCTCCTGGTCTTTCTTTCTCTCTTCTCTTTCTTCTGTCGTTTCCACGCTCTCCCCGTCTTCTCCGTCACTGGAATCCGGCTTCGGAGGCGTCGCTTCCCGCTTGGAGCTGCAAGTGATGCCGCGGCTCTGCGCGGCTTTAAGGGGCTTATTTACCACAGCTGGAGCGGTTTTCTCCGGGTTTTCCTCTCCTTCTTCGCTCTTCTTTGGCTGGTCCTCATCGTCGCTGGAGCAGTCTTTTCTTTGCCGAAAGTTTCTCCGGGGTTTCTTGTTGAACATTTTGCTCCACTCACCATGGAGGTAGCAAAGTTGTAAACTAGCCGTAAACCGCGAAAATCGTTTGGAAATGTCGCAAAGCTGCCGCAAGTACGCCTCAAGGGAATATGGGTAATAGAGTACATGTTTAGTTTTTCAGAAGAAAAACGCTTGCACATTATAGTAAACTAAACACAAACGATGATATTCTACAGAAATAAATAATAATAATTAACAATAGTTAGCCATCTCATTAAAATTACTACATAAAGCAGCGCTCTGTGGGAATAAACTGGAGTCAAAACAGAACCTGGGATGAAAATAGCACTTTTTTTAAACTTTACTAGGTTAGAGGAACCACACAGACACAAACAGAAACACACAAACTATTGACAATGTGTAGCAGTGAATGATATACACAGCATCGCTATTATAGTTTTGTATTATTTATTAGGGTTTTTTTTTAGATATCAGTTAAATAAAAATTCGTTGTACTTCTTAGCTGAGTTTTCCATGACCACAGTAACCAGTCATGTTCTTGCGTGTATCCATCGAAGCAGTGTTAAATAACATTACATGCATTAATGTTAAAGAACATCACATGAAGTAAAAACTATTGGTTTAACTGTAGGTGGAAAAAATATATGTTTGTAGGTTTTAGAAGATAGACTCCTTATGTCCTTCACAGTGGTCCACTGCCTATCATTCCCCATATTTTGCAAACGATAAACAAAAGACCAGACTATAATTCATTGTCTTATTTACTTAGTTACTGGCATTAAATCGTGTTTTTAAATGCAACTGCTATATCAGTAGTGGGCATGTACGGTACGTAATGAGTGTTCATGGAGGCAGGAGATCTGTTAACATTAAAATGATCATCCACTGAATTTTCTACAATTTAAAAAAAAAAATCTCTTTGCAGCCATCATGCATTCCCTCAGAGCTTGTGATCTCGTCCCACTGAAGCAGCCAAATCTGGCCAAATTACAGTCCAGGTAAGTTACTAAGAAATTTCCAACCAGTTTTGGAAATGACTGATTGCTGGACACCCAAGTGCCACCCACATTAAACAAGATGTCTAATTTAAGGCAACAGTGTCCCTTCAAAGTCTGGATTATTTGGGTGTTATCCCAATTCTGGGCTTTGGAAATTTACACAGCTAAACCCGGTTAAAAACAGGCAATGATTTGATTTACCGATCTAATACAGTACATTATTAGTTGGCTATATAGGCTGATCCAAATTTCCAAAGTGAGCTACTCTTTGTGACTTTAATCGCAGAGGATTTCTGAATTGTTTCTTGCAAATGTGCAATTGTGTAATCTCAGAATATATGACTATATAATCTCAGAGTGTATTGCTGTATAATCTCAGAACACATGACTGTATAATCACAGAACGTGTACCTATATAATTTCAAAATATATGACTGTATACTGTCAGAATATCCTTATCTCATAATTTGTAATGAATAATCTCCAAGTCATACAAGGATTTTAATCTCTTCTCCATTATTCTCCTAGTCTGGCTCCATATTGTATAATATTACTCTCACTTGTCTCTTATCTGCCTCCCATCCCATCGATTGTTCTCCTTCTCCATCTGTTCCACTTTTATTCCTCCCTTTCTCTCTCCTCCCACTCGCCGGACGTTAGCAGCGCCTCACAGGCTCCAATCACTCGTCGTCAGCCATGTTGTTGGTGTGACACACCGAGCTGTCAGCAACAGGTTCTCTTGAGCAGAAACGTTAACAAACTTAACATATCTCCTGAAAACGGCAGCTCTCCGCGGATACTAAACTTTGAGAGCGTGCGTGGGAAACCGTCCAGAAGTGGTGGCTCGTCATTTGCGGCCTCTCGAAAGCTCAGAAGTTGATGTTTTTGAACCGTAGCGGTGAGAGAGGTAGGCAAGCGAAACTGCTTATCTAAGCATGACCGTAAGTTTGATGTTCTCATAATAATCCCTTTATAGACTCCCTGTTGACTTTTCGATATTTTTTAATGACTTTTCCGTGTTCGTGTTTCCTTGTGTACCTTGTTTAATTTGAAAATATGAAAGGAAAAAGTGTTCTTTAAAGAGGTGATGCTTCACCGTGGGTGCCAAACAACCTGGGACCGTCAGAGTTGGGTTAGCTTGCTAAGTTGTGTTTTCATTAAATGTTTTGTTTGTGGACAATCAGATGAGTGTTTGTTGGCGCTTATTTTATGGCGAAAGTGTATCTGGGAGGTTTGTGAGAGCAGATTTGCAGGAAAGTCTCCTAAATTCCTTTTGGTTCAAACTAGTTGAGCAGGTTGCAGGCAGGTCTCAGTGACTGGTGACAAGTGATCAGGGAATGCGACTCTTTCGGTTTATCTAGAGACACATAAACAGAGATGAAGGTTGTAAATGACGTTACCGTCCCCAAGTGGAAATGTTTGTATGAATTATTGGCCTGCTCGGTCTCAGTTGTGCAAAGTGACCTAATTAGTGAAAGCCGAGGCCCACACAAATATATTTAATGAAAGAATTCAAAATATATTTCTTGTGTTAATTCCAACTCAATAGCTGACAGGGTTACTTCACCATATTTATTATAGGCTACTGTAGATTGGTGCTGCTGCACACAATCGTTCTTCCCTGCGAAATAATCTCTGTTTTTACAATTAATTAAGACCATGAACAGTGAGCTTGGGGGGAGCTAAACTGAAATAGTATTGGGATTGTAGAAAACTATTATCCACACATCTATGCATTTTCTGAATTGCTTATCCAATTCAGGATCGTGGGGGTTCTGGAGCATGTCCCAGCTGTAATAAGATAAGAGGTGGGGTGCACCCTGGACAGGTCGCCAGTCTACCACAGGGCTAACATTAACACCTACAGCCAGCTTACAATCAACAATTAACCTAACATACAAGTCCTTGGGCTGTGAGAGAAAACCCACGCAGAAGGGTCCCAAGCCTGGAGGGTAATCCTATTCCTTCTTGCTGGGAAGTGCTAATCACTGCACTACTATGCCGCTCACTAATAATAATAATTATAAAAAATTAAAATATAATGAGGGAAAATTCTTTTAGTTTTTATAAGTCTGGTCAAACTGGGTCAACAAAACTTAAACCAGGAGGTATTCGTGCATATGATCAACTATAACTAAAGTGAAGGTAATAAAAACTTAACTGAAATAAGGGAACACAATGTGGAAAGTAACTGAACTGAAATAAAAATTAATCTGGAAACATGATAAAATCTACAAATAATATGAACTACTGTGAGTGATGATTGCAAATAAGTTTAATTAAAAAACTTGGGGGAAAATGCAGGATAACCTATTGCAGCATTTATCTTTCTAACTTGGCAGGATGTTGTTTAAAAACCACATCAGCACAAAAAATTATCATCATTTGCTCCGGTGCTGTCTATTTCAGTGCAAATATTTTGTTATTGCATAACACTGATAAGTTGAGAGATAGTTCCTTTAGCTTTTTTTTTTTTTTTTTAAAGAGTCTTTTACCCGAAGGCCAACCTTATTAGAGAGTTGCTTGGAAAAAAATAAGTGACAGAGATTTAGAGAAAATGATTGAAAGGTCTGGAATGAAGTGCATGCTGAGTGTATCTGCTGTTCTTTTCTTTTGAGAAAAGCAATATTCCACCAGTGTAGCGTTTATCCTACCAGCACTGGGTAGTCATTTTGTTCCCCTAAATTGACAGGAAAATGCACAAATGTCTCTCTAATAAGGTAACAAAGACTTATGGCCTTTAATATATGTGGGCACATCATGTTTGCGTACATCATCACCTACCAGAGTTCTGTTGTAGGCTATTAAAACCCTGAAATCAGCAAAATATTAAAGTGGTTAACATGCTGAGTTAGTACAGGGAGGAGTCTTACCAAGCTGCAGCTCTTTGTGTCCAATCCTAACTTGATGCTTGTCATTTTAATACTGGACACTAAGCAGCAGCCTACCGTTTTCCTCATCCAACTTCCATTTATTATATAAATATTGGTCCGACATTAACTTGTCAGTCAAACCAGACTCGCAGTCTTTTTTTAATTTGGCAGTGGTGAAGCATTGCCATGTTCCCACTGAGCCACATGCACAAGCCAAACAACAAATTTAGAAGTGTACGTTCTCCAGCCCTGTCATATTCAGATAGATGGACAAATCAAGGTGAGTCAAACCCAGGCTAAAAGAGGGAGAGGTGTGCCATGCCTCTTAAATAAACAAAATCTGGCATTGCAAACATAGTTAATCAAACCCAATCTGAAACGCTGCAGGTTTGCTTTGCAGCCCTGAGTGTGGTAGATGGGTGTTTACTGCAGAGCGGGTGGATGCTGAAATATCACTTTAATAAAACTACCCGTTAGTTGTCTCTGTATTGTGGGAAGGAATTGAAAATATACATTAAAAACAGCTGAAGAGAAAGCTTGGGTAATTTTACTGTACACAAAGGCAGACACAGAGGGGAAGAAAGGGTGTCATCGGGCAGAAACAGAACTGTGGATGGAGTTGATGTCATTGGTGTGAGGTCAGTGAGCGAGGCGGCAGAAAATCAATCATTCCTCAGAACGGCATTCACGCAGTGTTTGTCTCTGAAAAGAGCAGTGATGATGACAGGACTGGCAGGGTGCAGTTTTACATGCAAAGTTATGAGAGTTGGTGAGAAAGTTGGGGGGGGGTTTGCTCAAAAGATGGTCACGAATGAGGAACTTGAGCAAGGAGAATATGTTTCTGTTCTCAGTCTCATCCCTATCCCTGACAGTGTTACGTCATGTTTGTTATTTCTTGATTCACTCTCAGCAAGGGTGGAATGGCAGTGAGGTACACAGTAGCACAAAGCAAAAGGTATAAACAGACAGAAAGAAAGGCACAGCAGAACTCCAAAGAGCAAATTGATATGCATATAAACACAAAAACTCTTGATTGTAGTTTGTAAAGAAAAGCTCTTTCCGCAATGGAATTTAGACTGTTATGGTCGAAGAAAAATAAGATCTAATGTCCCACTGTTCATTTTGATTATTTCTTTCAGTATGCAGTGGTTATGTGGTGTTATGGACATCAGTGTTACTGTTTTGCTGGCTGTTAGCAAGTATACTACAGTGTTTCACCACCTCTTCACCATTGTGAAAGAGCTGTTTCATGAACTGCAGGTTGGGACACTGTGAGTCACATGTCTATTTATGTACCGAACTATGACAAAAGCAATGGCTATTGCATGTGTGTTCACACCAAGATGAGTGGACACATAAAGCAGACTTATGTGTTTTGCTACCCAGGGGTTTATCATATTTTCCACTTCTCAGAATTCTAGTTATACAGACAAGCTGTATAACAGCTGTTCTTTTTTGGGTTGTTTTATTTTTAAATCCAGAACTACACAAGTTTTTAAAAAATATTGTTCATGCACACACTGTAACTCAAAAACATCATCACACACAAATAGAGCTAGAATTAGGAGGAAGTCAAAGTGTTGGGCATAGGAACATCAGTAGCTTGGATTCTTGCTGTTATTCAGATTTGAAGACGGGCATTGCGGTTGCTGCTCTATTGTCATTACAGAGAGCTTCTGTTCACTACTACTGTAGTGCATTCAGAAGTTTTTAGACATTCAAGTTTTTATTTCAGTTTTTTTACAGAACTATGTACATTACGCCACACTTATTGTAAACTTTGGTAAATCAATGAAAATATCAAATTTTCTTTTTCATTTATATGTTGATTATAGCAGCAGTAACAGCCTCAGTCCGTTGTGGGAATTATCACACATGTTTGACACACCTTTCTTTTGGACGTTTCTACGTTTTCTATCGTTTTTCAAACTCAACACAACTCATAAGGAGTGTTGGTCCACAGTAAATTCACAGTCTGAGAGCTCTGTTGGGTTTGTGCCCAGATTGTGGCAGGGTCAGTTCAAGACTGTCAGTGGGGAGCCAACCTGTGTTTTCTTGGCAGGATCCTCAAGGTTGTTGTCTTGTTGAAAACCACAGATCCTGAGCGCCCAGTCTCTGCCTGGTGTCTCCTGCAAATGCTGTTGGGAACTGTGGCTTTATTTAAAAGTTCATATTTCAAACCATAGACAGTATAAAAGACCTACCAGGATGTCACCTTTTGAAGTTTTATTTTGAAGCCTTGAGATGAACGTCAATAAAGGTAGTTGTTTTCCTAATAGACTTTTATAGGATTAGAAGTTTTTTGCAACTACAGCTATCGCCATCTGGTGGCCACTAGGTAAAATCCACATTTTTTTTAGGGGCTTCTTATTTTTGTAACAAGGAAGCTATGTCCATCCTCTTTACGCTCTCTGAGTTAAATTCAACAAACATAAGTAGAATAATATATAGCTCACTTAACTTGTCACGGTTTCCATTGGATCTTCTTTTCTTTTAGTTTCACAAGACTTTTTTTTCAGCTTTGCGAGTTTCTCTTGTTTGTCCGGTACTAAGCTAACCTTTCACAAATTGTATCTGCCTGCCTGTCTCCTAAATGTAGTTAGAGGTGCATTTTTCTGCTTTCGTATTTGATAACTATCAGCACATGGCTTCTAGGTGAGTTATTTCGCCTGCTTGCAGTAATGGCACATTCCATCTACAAGGCAGCTGTCTCCCTGATAGAGCGATTCAGTTGTGTCAAAACAGTGCATCTAGCTTAGAATCTGTTTTTGCTTTTCCTTTTCCTACTTGTTTTTAGATGTTTTTAAAAGGTTCTGTATCACTGGTTAAGTATAGATGAGGTTAGTTTTTAAGTTAGGTGGAGCTCTGGTTGTTGATCTTCACTCTGATTTTACCTTCGGGGAGTCTATGCAAATGGTGGAGCAGAGGTATTCATTTAGCAGCACAAGGCTTCTACTGAGGCAGTGTGTGTTTATGTGGAGGGCGACTCCAGAAGGTATTTGCATGAAGTTTGCAAAGCTGACTCTGCCACTGAGGTCACTCCTTTGTGCTAGCCAAGTCCGACGTTCAGTCGGTCAGTTGGTCAGGCAGCCGCCCTGTGAGGAAAGTTAGACTGCTTGCTTACTGTGGAAACAGTAAACCTTAAAGCCAACAGTCTGCTGCTTTCTTTCACTTATTCATTCAGATTCCTGTAGTGTTGGGTTACCAGACATTAGATTCCATGACTTCAGTGTCAGTGGCTTTCAAATACCTCCATAAGTAAGTACATTTCTTGAAAGGAACAACCAAACCATCCATTGTCACTGCTGATGGCAATATAGAGAGTACAATGATATGCTCTAAATTCATTTAAAACTAGTATGATTGTATTTGATGCTCTCCATCTAAACAGCTAGGAAAATAGATGGGAGAAGCAGAGGAAAGAATGGATGATCAGAGATATCGAATAAGAGTGTGGTCTGACTCGGGAAAGGAAGGAGAGAGGGAGAGTGACAGATGGCAGGCAGTAGATTAGCCCTCTCTTGTTATTCTCTGCCCTTGTAAGAGCGTCAGCCAGGCACTTTCTTTCTGTTTTTTTTCTCTCCCTCATTCATATTCTCATGCACAGGCTTCTTGTCACCAGATATGTCAGTAATCACCTATAAATGACTCTTTAATCTGGAATACTGTGTCAGTTTCAACCACAGCTCTCACGCTTATTTTTTAGGACATTAAAAGCTGCCTCTCTCTCGCCAAGATCTGTGATCACTTCCTGTCAACTGATGTTGATTAAGGAAATGCTTCTGTTCGTAGGTTAGGCAGGAAGTGCTGAGCGGAATGATTAGAATTTCTCTCCTGCTTTTCCTCCTCCACCTTCATCATGTGAATCTGAGCGGCCGATGGCAGTGTGATGATAACAGGGAAAGTTGTCATTCTAAAGATGCGAATATGAAATGAAAAGAGAAAATGTGAAGAAAAATAGTTGACGTACCAGTCGGACAGTTAAAGATTACATCTGTATTCAGTGTTGCATTACTACTGTTATTAATGGTTCTATAAATAAGTTCACACGACATTCATAACTGTCTCAGATCTAAACAATTCTGTTCTGTTGTGCATGTTGTAACGATCATTTAACAGGAAGAGTGCTACAGCAGCCACAGATAAGACCTATAACTATTTCTCCAACCCAGCATAAAGCTACTTACCGCCTTCTGTCAACAAGGAGTTCATATGTGATACATGAGACGGAGTCTGCTACATTTACCCTGTTATTTACATTACAATCAACCCCTGTGGACTGTCCCTATATAATAACATTTTAGTCTGGACCAAAGTACTGGGACAGACCTGCCTGATCACACAATCACATGCAATTACTTGAAACTTATAAACCCCAACCTTCAAGAAGAAGCTGAGCCTCCTACTACATAAAACAGGTTTATGCAACAATAGGCCAATTCCCACACTTTGTTTGCAAGTGCATGACTCAACAAGAGCGGTTTCAAAGCCTGATGAGATAGAGAAAGAGTCATAGTCACTGCTAACAGGAAGGCAGGTTTAAAGTCATTAAGAGTATTGGTTTGTCGCTTTAGTGTAGTAGCTTGTCTTTACTCATTTTCAACAGTTGAATGTTGAGCTACAACTTTACTCTAGATGGACATATTGTAATCTTATCTATAGCTACAAATTGTGGACAAAGACTGAAAGTGTATAAGCAGCAAAACAACATCTGGGCTTAGTCTTAAAGGGCGTTCACACAGGAAACAGTGTGCTTGTTGAGCGTTGGTTTGTTGCTGAATATTGGTAACGAGTGGAGTTCGTTTTGTGGTTGTCTAGGTAAAGCTCGAAGGCAGGACTGGGTCATTTTCCCCAGGGGTCACACAAGAAGCTCGCACCATTGTAGAGGATAAACTCATTCCTGGTGGATATTAACTTTAAAAATTAATTACCCACCCCTGTGCTAAGGTGTCTTTCACTGTTGTATTTCAACTAATGCTATTCTTTGATTAGACTGTTGCCTTCATGACCTGGACCCACATAAGCTTTAGAAAATAGAGAGCTGGAAATATCCTAACAGGATTGATTCTTGTATTGTGAAACTTACAGATTTTTCAAGAGTCGACAAAAACCTTTCTTCTATTGCTCTTAGGAAAAAAATGTAAATGGTTGTAAGTTTAACATTTGCTATAATTAAGTAGTCCTATCATGGACTGCAGTTGAACAAAAACTTTGTGTCTATAATAATAACTTGATGGTGTTTGCATCACACTGGGGAATAAACATGAACAAAGCATAACATCGGTACATCAAACGTGGGCAGTTTTTTGAAGAAGTGGTGTCTGTTTAGCACCAAAGGGCTGTAGATCCTTTGTTCAGTCTACATTAGCTGATCAAACAGAACTGAACAGGGGTTTGTATTCCTGGACACAGTAAATGTTAATAAGTGCATGTCGGTTTAGCTTTAGTAGTAGCATGGATTGCACTCTGGCCGCTACGACATCAGTGTTGATAGTACTGAAAAAAGTCCATGTGGTTGAAAAGATTTGGGATGCGGCCAAAGTGAACAGGAGAAGCCCTGTTTGACTCTGCTGACCGACCAGAATCGCTCTCTCTCTCTCTCTCTGCCTGGTCTGTCTCTGTACCTCTCTCTGCCTTTTTATCTCCCTGCTCTCTATGACAGTACTGTCCTCTCTTAGCTACAGTATTGACTGATTACTGGACCGTGCTTATGTGTGTTTTGCAGATGGCTGTGAACAGTAGCTGAGGACGTCACTGGGAGTTCTCCACCTGCGAAAATGAATGGTAAGATCACTGCGTTTTGTGTGTATAAAGGACAGTGTTAAATCTGTGTGGAGAATGAAAGAAAGAAAGAGGGGTGTGTGAATGTGGCTCTGCAGAGCTGCTGAGGCCAACATAAGGCTAGTTTTAGTGATAATTGCTGGGTTGTGTTTGGCCTACGTTTGTGTACATATTCTTGACCAGCTTCTTTATAGTTTGACACAGTTGTGCTAATTTTGAAGTCTGGTCCATATATTTTCTTTTCTTTCTTTCTTTCTTTTTTTTTTTTTTAAACCCACCAGGTTTACTGATAGCTTCAGTGACAGGATTAAAGTACCCAGATTAGTATATTTTTGGTGTTGGTGCAGGTTATATATGTTGTAGGGCTGTGCGATATGACCAAAATCTCATATCCCGATATAAGACATCTATCGTCCCGATAACGATATAAATCACAAAAATGTAACATTTTCTGTAAACTATGTGAATCTCGTGCAGCTCGACTTGCGTGAAGTGTTTCCAGCTGCGCGTCATGTAGCTGGAGTCGAGTGTTTTAATAGATGCATGAAACTATACATTTTTAGACATAAGTTGTAACGGCCGCCGTTTTCTTTGTGAGTATTTCTTACACGGCGTGCTGCAGGGAAAAGCCTGTTCTAACGTTTGAGTCTAAGGTTTATTTTTTAACACCTGGCGGCTCTTTTTTACTTCTCTTCCGTAAAATAATCTGCTCTTTCACGTGATTCAGTTTATTTTGAAAAGTCTCAACAGGATCTTGAGCTTTATTGTGAAAGGTTTATGTGGAAAATAAACAAGCGGACACGTGATGGTGTTACCGTCTCTGTTGCTAACGACAACACATAAAAACAGGCGCTTGTCCATCTGTAGTGTGGTTATATTAAATATAAGAGAAAGAGAGAACTTTAAGAAATTAATATAGCCACTACAGTGACCATCAAAACGATGAAAAAATATTGCGGTAAACAGTTTATTTTGCAACATCACGAAACAAACGATAGCGTCAAATGAAACTATAGACATTTTTATATGGTCATCCGATATATATCGTTATATCGAACAGCCCTAATATGTTGGTGTTGTTGATATATCGTGGAGTAAACAGCCTTGGTGAAGAGCAGTAAAAGTGTCTTGTTTTGCACTTAACAAAGTGAAAATTGAGCTTCATTATCACTTTGTCAATACTGGTGGATTCCCAGTGTCTGACTGCTGCTGAGGCTGACGTCAGGGTACTCTTTATCTGTGTCAGTTGGTCTGTGTGTGTGCACCTGTCTTCCTGTTTCCTTTTTTTTTTTACGCCTGTGTAATCTTGTGAAGTGAACTGAATATCTGATAAATTAGCTGACATTAATTAGAAAAATTAAGCCTGCTACTTCTTGGGGTCTATTTGCCTGGTATTATTTAATCTCACTGGCTATGACTGAAACTTTACATTTCCTTTCCCCCCTCAGGTGGTCCAAGTGTGTGGGCAATCTCCCCAGAGGAGAGGGACAAACATGATCAGATGTTTGACTCCCTCTCCCCAACGATGGGCTACGTCACAGGTACAGACATTTAAACATGCTGTTTGTCCATGATTCACACGGTGACTGGATGCTGGTTTTCAGAGTGCTATTTTATCATGATGAAACTGGAAATTGCAAATGGCTGTGACTCAGTTGGTATCCCTAATCCCCAGCCCCTCCCCATGCTGAAGTGTCCTGGTGCAAGACATTGAATACTAGGTTCCTTCAGATGGCATGGCAGTGCCTGTGTATGGAAGTAGAAAACATTGTAAAGCGCTTTGTAGCACCAATAAAGTTGAAAAGTGCTTTATTAATGAAAACATGTGGCCCGAGGACCAGAACCGGCCTGTGAGCCATCTCAGTTTGCCCTGCAACATCCTAAAAGGAAAAAAACAGGTTTATCTATGCAGTGCTAAACATTAAATAACTGGCAAGATGCATATAAATTTTGATGAAATATTTGGATGGAATTTTAGTGAGTGTCTAAACGAGGGTGGCCTGCTGGAGAAAATGTTACCCACCTGTGATTTACAGTAATGAACAGACACGTACAAATACAGACGCGACGAGGCACATGTAAATATAACCAATATAACATATGTATTAAAGTCCAGATAGTGATGTACAACCTCATACTTGTAAACTGACACTTTTTTGTTTTCTTCCCTCTCTGTCTTTTTATAGGAGACCAGGCAAAGAGGTTTTTCCTTCAGTCAGGGCTGCCTGCATCAGTGTTGGCTGATATATGGTGAGAGAAACACAGACTCACAGTGGATAAGATGCTGTGCTTGAGAAGATCTTCCTGAGAACCCATCACCGTTTCCTTGCTTATGTTTTGTGTTCTGTCTCCCAGGAGCCTGGCCGATATGAATAAAGATGGAAAGATGGACCGGCTGGAGTTTTCTGTTGCTATGAAGCTTATAAAGCTCAAACTTACGGGTACACCACTTCCCTCATCGCTTCCAATCATCATGAAGCAGCCTCCAGTGCGTGCTCCCACCATGAACAACCCCATCAACCCTGCCTATGGTACGATATTATTATTATATCGTACACTATAGCAGTGAATTTGTTAGAAAATTAACATTTTACTATTTGCAAATATGTGGAGTTTTCCTTTAATGGACATGGCCCACAAAAACGGGAAAGAACGAGCTGCTATGGCTCCTAGGTAGAAGCGAAAATATGATTTTTTTTTTTTTTTAATGAAGATCCTCCATTCAAAGATTTCGGAGCACTTAGAGTAATCTAAACTCTGTCTGACTGATTGTTTCCATGCATGCATTTAGTCACTGTGATCAAAAATGGTGTATCTAATTGTGTCATAGGAATTGGCTCTATGGTGCATGGAACAAACCTTGCCATGTTGACTCCTATGGCTGTGTCACCTATGACACCAATGACGGGCCTCAGCCCAATGGTTCCTTCATCATCAGGAATGAACCCACTAATGATGTCCACTGCCCCCACGCCCCTGGTTCCAACTATGGGAAATACCACAGTACCAAATGGCACCATGGGTCTCCTCCAGCCAATTTCTTCTGGAGGTTTGAATACTGGTATGTGTAATTCTCTTTTCCATTAATCAGTTAGCTGTCATTTTTGTCTTTTTCATCTTGTATCTGAGAGACTTCTAACAGGAAATCTATTAGGATATTATTAAATATGCTACACTTTAAATATTCCAGGTTATCATAGCGCTTTGTGTTATCTGATCAGTGTTTATCATGCTAGTTGATCAGGTTGTCACGGCTGAAAACTAACTAAAGAAGCAAGTCCATGAAGCACCCTAAAGGAGAACTTTGTTCTGAAGATTTTCAAAGTTTTTCTGTTTTAAGAGAAGGTTTTGTCCAAAAACTTGAACAACTTTGGTTTTGTTTATTTTTTTTAAAGATTAGTACATTTGGAAAAAAGTGTATTAAATATTCTGTCAGCTTTTGAACATGATAAACTTGCATTAGCTAATAGTGCGCAGGATTTGTATGCAAACTTGACCTGGATTGGAGTTTGGCCCAAGCAGCTTGGTAGTGCTTAAGTTTTGGAGTCCACTTAAAACTAGATCTAGATCCACAAATTTTGCATCACGTCAATGCTCTTAAGAAAATACTTCAAACTAATCAGAAACTAGATATTGGTTGGGGGACTCGAATAATGCATGTTATGGAGGAAATGTTCATCTTTGTGTGTGATCTGTTAGACAGCTCTTGTTTGTCTTTTTGGTTATTGCTTTCTTGATGCTTATCTGCTGTTTGTTGTAGTATGAAAACTGCTGAGGAGAAATGCTGGCTGTTCTCTCATATTAAATACTGTATATTTGCTGACAATGAAGCAGTTCTGGGTATTTTAAGGGAAAACCAGGAAAATGGAATGGCTCCTGTCCTGTTTTGCAGAGTCAGGTTTCTGTCTCATCTCCATACAAATGGACTCCCTGTCCTTGACAAGGTTACAACAGTGATCACAGTACATTAATATAAGGCCTCTGCCATTTAAGAAAACTGTAAAGACAGAACCCTCAACTTTTCCACCAAGTGAAAAAAAGAACATCACATTTTGTAATTGTGGTTAAGTGTGTGAATAACATTTTGTGCCCTATTGTTGAAATATGATTAACGCGCGTGTGTGTCTCTGCTTCAGGCCTACCTCTATCTGCGACCTCTTACGCCTCTCCGCTTGGACGCGCCTCTTCTCCTGCTGGTATAAACATGGCCCCAACACTGCTAGACCTGGGATCTGGCAGGTAAGACCTGCACATATACGTAAGCATGTCTGGGCAACCTCTGACTTGTTTACCTTGTCAGTTTCTTTTAGCCCTTTTCAACTAGTACCTGCTCATCTCGACTGGGTCTGTAGGGGTTCCATTAAGTGTCAGAACTCGGTTCTAGGTACTTTTTTAGTAACTACTCAACCAGGGTCCCAAGTGATCTGAGTCGACACGAAAAATGTGACAGCAACAGCAACAGACTGCCTGCCACTGACTGCTGATTCAATGGTGTCAAAAGCGACTACTCACAAAAATCCACTCCGTGATGCATACAAATGACATTACAGGACTTCTGGCTGCATTGCTATATGTCAGAAAAATAAAATTTCAGAAATTGAGTTGAGTCAAGCTGAGTAGGTATTAATGGGAAAGGGCTATTATCTGTACAAACGTAAACATTTGGTGTATTGTTTTTCAGCTCCGGTTCTTCAACCCCATCTGTGATGTCCCCCATGAATGCTGTTCCCAGTGACTGGGCTGTGCCACATGCTTCCAGACTTAAATACAGACAGCAGTTCAACAGCTTGGATAAACAGATGATTGGATACCTCACTGGTATAATGCATTTATGTGTATGCTTACTGTATAGGTTATATAAAACCAAACTATTTATGGAATTTAGGTGTGGAGACAGTCACTGATGACTTCATTTTCCTCCCTCTTTTTTTCCTCTGTATCAACCTTTAGTTAGCTTTAAGTAGTGGAGACTATAGTAGCGGGTGTGTTCAGTCACAGTGTTTCTCAACACACACATGCACACAGTCAAGTATTTGTTTGTCCTTTTGTTCTGCAAACCTTGTAAAACCTGTTCTTATGAAAAAAACAAAGATTTATTGAAATGACAATGAAGGTCAGATTTTTTTTCCCCAATTTTCTTAGTAATGCAACTTGACTGTTATTACGCAGTCTGTATGGTAACAAAATTACACAAAGGGCATCTTTTATTCCTTCAAGTTTTGTGTCCTTGTAGACCTTTGTAAAAAGCTGAGTGTTTTCATGCTGTCACAGACTGTTTACCATCATCTGCTTTTTAGAATTTTGAAACTTTGTACAATGTCACTCTAGGAAAAATTGGTTATGGTGTTGCAACTGCTTCCTGTCGTCACCACACGTTATATGTAGATTAATTCATATATCATCAGCCACTGTACTATTTCACACACACCACTTCTTTCTTCTTCCACACCCCCACACCTCTGTGCTCCACAGCTCTGACATTTGTTCCTCTTCTTACCAGGTCTGCAGGTGAAGGGTGTGATGGAAAGTACGATGCTGACAAAAATACAACTGGCCTCCATCTGGTAGGATTATGTGTGTATTTTGGTGTGTCTGAACATGTCTTTTGATTACTACAGTCAGGTTTGGCAGCCAGAAGTACGAAAGGTCATGCAGTTGTAGCATTATCACAATACCGCTTTCATTATTAAGGAAGTAATTGTTTTTTGTTTTAAGAATGCTGTTCCCAGTATCTATTACTTGTTAAAATGGGTTAAAACATCTGACAATAGATTTGCTGGGTTTTTTTCTTTGTTTTTCTTTTGTTCTACAATATTTTTTACGCAACTGAATACTGCAGGATTTATCAAATCAAATGGACATGTTTTCTACAGTTAGCTACTTAATGCTATAACTGTTAATTGTTTTTATTGAATTTGGTTGAGTTAGTTTTATATGATCATGCATCTTGTGCTTCAACACCTAGTCTGGTTATGTCAGAGCAGCAAGTCCAGTAGCTGTAATATTGATGTTGTAATTGTAAATATGAGGTCCAAATATTCCTGAGTAACAATATTTATTTCCCATGAATATTATTCTGCTGAATTTAAGTATGATAAGTGTACATTATGTTTTACAAAAGTCCAACTTGCAAATTTCCTGCAGGAATTTAGCAGATGTGGATAAAGATGGCAAGCTACAAGCGGAGGAGTTTATTCTGGCAATGCACCTCGTGGATTTGGCAAAGAATGGTCAACCACTGCCATTAACACTGCCAACTGAGCTGGTACCACCCTCACAGAGGTATGTGGACACACATGTTCTGCTTGACCAAAACCTCTCCAACATTCTCTATATATAAATGCTTGACGTAAGGTTTTTTGCACAAAACCTTGTTATTATGTGAGTGATGTTGCATGCTGTATTTTCAAAGAAACTGATTGAAATCTGTATTGCAGGAGTGCCACGAATGGCCTCAGCTCTTCCCTGATCGATAACTTGGAAATTGAACCGCCACAGAAACCAAAAATGAACAGTCAGTACTACCAATAAACACAACCAACTCACACAGGCAGCAGCCTTTTTAAACTGAGGGTTCATGTGCAGCCAGCAGCTATGGATCATAAATATTTATTTTATTTTTTTGCACACACTGAGAAATACTAATATAATGGGTGTAGTTTGAGTTTCCCCTCTTCTTGTAACTGCATTTCACATCTCAGCTTTAACCCTCTTTTTTCTCTCTCTGTTTCCTTGGTTCACTACTATGGACTTCAAATAAGATGAGTTACAAAACTTGCAGCTCATCTGTGTGTTTCCCATGTAGTGCATAGATTTGACTACCAAAAATACAAAAGAAAATGATGCACAGATTAAAATGATCTTATCATAAATATGAGAGAAGCTGCGCATAGTAAAATGGAAACAGTCGGTCAAACTCTAGTAATAAGTCTGAGTCTTTAAAGAACAGCATCTGGAATGTGGTGCACGTATTGGTGACTTAGGCTACAAGTAGCAGCTGGAATGTTTGGACGTTGTTAAATGCTAATCCTCCAAATCTTATAAAAATCATTCACAATTTTTTTTTTTAAGACATGATCTCAAATAAATAATCAGTATTTAGTCACATACATGTTCACAATTCTTTTCTTAATGTTACATGAAAAGTACAGTGATCTGTCATGTCTTCCTACTTTATTTTTAGTATCATTTGAAGATAAATTCAAAGCAAACTTGGAACGAGGGAATGCAGAGTTGGAGAAAAGACGACAGGCCCTACTGGACGCTGAGAGGAGGGAGCAGGAGCGGCGTGCTCAGAAAGAGAAAGAAGAGCGAGAGAAGAGAGAGAAAGAGGCTTGGGAGGCTGAGGAGAGAAGGAGGAAAGAGGAGGAGAGGAGGCTCGAGCTCCAAAGAGAGCTGGAGAGACAGAAAGAGGAAGAACGGCAGAGGGAGATGGAGAGAAAAGAGGTGAGGTGAACGTCTCTGAATGAGTTGGTTTGTTCGCAGTGATGCGTGGTGTACTTACTTCTGTGTGTCCGTTTATTCTAGGCTGCACAGCGGGAGCTCGAGCGTCAGAGAAAAGAGGAGTGGGAGAGGAGGAGGAAAGGAGAGCTCCAGTTAAAGAAGGAACAGGAGCAGGATGAAATCACCAAACTGAAAGCTAAGAAGAGGAGCCTGGAGTTGGAGTTGGAGGCAGTGGTGAGTGCTGAAGAGACATTTCAGTCCAACATAGAGCAAAAATACTTTCTGTCTACATGTTGTGGAGGTTTTTTAAGCTATCTCATCTCTGTTCTTCTGTCTCTACCTCTTTTAGGGTGACAAGCACCGTCAGATCTCGGACCGCCTGCGTGACTTTCAGAACAAGAAAAAACTTCAGAAGACTGAGCTTGATCTTAACAATCAAAGGAAGGAGGCACGCCAGCAGGATATTAACAATCTGCAGAAACAAATTGAGGTCTGTGCTTTTTTTCTTCCCCATTTTTTTTCTGAGATCATTTCTGAGTTTCATTCAGTTCCTTGTGTATTTCTATAATATTCTAATATTATGACATTTAGTGCTGAAAGTAGCAAGGATAGTTGTTTAGTAGTTTACCTATGTATATGAGTATTGCTTTATTGAGAGGGTGTGTGTCTGTTAATCTCTTTTTGAAACTCCGCCCCCTCCAGTGATGCATTTTTTTTTCTTTTCTTTTTTTTTTTTAATCCATTAGGAGTTCCAGAGAAAGTTGTCCCACTTGACTCCGGAGCAGAAAAGACTGACTGAAAAGCTGAAAAATATGTCTCTGAATAACCTGCCTGGTTAGTAGTGAAAAATTAACATGCCAAGCTTTGGACCATCAATCATAGAAAAATGGAAAATAAAATGAAAAGAATACCTCTTATATGGCAAATTGACTCATTTTAATTATCACGGTTTTCATTATACTTGTTGTAATTATAATTACTTAATACATGCAACCAGAAGAAGTAAATGCAAACAATTTATGGATTGTTGTCTGATAGATGTACCACCAGTTATCGCAGTGACTGTATTTTATCTGCTTGTAGCATCGACAGTGTCCACCCTAAAAGGGAGCATGACGGAGAAAAAAGGGACGTGTATGAAACTGCGAGAACAGCTTGAAGTTCTGGAGAAAGAGACGGCTGCCAAACTAGCAGAAATGGACCAGTATAACAAAGACATGCAGGTAGGAATCTGTCACTACTTCAGTCTGCTTTTTGGCCAGATGCGTGTGGAGCAGCAGCAACACAGTAAATACAGGTAGAAAGTGCTGTGTTCTCGTCTTGTGGCTAATAAACTAAGCAAGCCCTTGGTTTATTTTACAGCTAGTAGGTACAGTTTGTGTTCTTTGCATGTGTGTGGTACCGAGTTATGTTGGATTTAAACGGACTAAACACTGCAGGTGTGAAAACAGCCTTAGAAAACTCTCATGAGAAAATGTTGAATGCTTGTTTTTGCAGTCGTTGAGGTTCATGGCAGCCGTGTCAGGGAACAATAGTTAATGTCTTCTTGCAGTTCTTCTGGAATGTGTAGGATGGTTTCCATCCTTGATCAGTTAAGGGCCAGAATCTCAAGCTCTGTGGATTATATTATTTTTTTGCACTTATTCTCAGCAGTGCAAAATCGTAGAACTGTAAAGCTTTGATAAAAAGGGGCTGCTAGTTTGGATCGACTTCCTTGAAACATATTTATTTTAATTTTTTAAGGAGACTGTTTTCCTAATATAAATTTAAAAGCAGTGATTTAACAAATTGCATATTAGACTGTGTCCTTTACAGCTGATCACTAATATTGCTTCCTGGCCCTTGAGGCCTTTTTTGTCTTTCTCCTTCCCTGCCATACTTCCTACTTTGGCATCTGATTCAACATATTAAACTTTGATTCCTCTTTTTCCTCGTCTTCTGGACATTTCTGCTCTTCCCTACACTGGATCCTTTCCTCTCTTCCCATTCGCCCATCTCATTCCCCTTTTCAGTGTGTGGGTGCTGAGGAGTCAATACTCCAGGCTCTCCTCTCTCTGCTGGCCTGCCTCCGTAACCTCTTCTACCTACTAAAGGTTTTTGCTTTAGGTCTCATTATTGTTCTTGCCTTGTTGTATCTTGTGTTTTGGTCCCCTAATTTATCTCTTTCTTTTCTACTTTTTCATAATATTTAGTCAGGTGTTGGATGCTGTTTGTTTATAGGCCTTAGACTGTGCCCATGTCCGTCTCGCATCCTTTAATTCAGCCATTTATCTTTCAGACTGCTAGTAATTATGTGAACTATCTTTGTTTACACCAGGAACTGAGAGAGAGCCAAAGAAATCAGCAGGCTGCACTGGAGAAACTGCGCAGCATAAAAGAAGACAAACAGCGTGAACTCATGCGAAAGAAGGAGCAAGAAGAGGAGATGAGGAGGAAGGAAGAAGAGAGGAAACGACAAGCGGAGGAAAGGAGGCGCAGGGAGGAAGAGGAAGAAGCTCAGAGGTACACTTTGAATTTACATTTGTGTGTTATAAATATTAGTCATCAGTTATACAGCAGATGCCATATGCTCTTTTTCCAACCAACACAAAACGTATTAAGATGTTATTGAATACTGGATATAATTTGTTATTCAGTCAAGTTTGATGATGTTGTTTACTTAAAAAATAACCTTTTTTGTCATGATCAAAAAGATAAAGAGACCAATAGAAAAAAAATGTAACAACTCCATATACTGATAATTCACACAATTCCGAGATGAAAATAATGTCATCAGTTCAAAAAACAAAACCCCAAAATAGGCAGGATCCATATCGAACAATTTACGCTGAGATTGACACTTTAGTACAGCGGTCCCCAACCTTTTTTGCGCCACGGACCGGTTTATGCCTGACAATATTTTCACGGACCGGCCTTTAAGGTGTCGCGGATAAATACAACAAAATAAAACTAGTACTGGTACCGAAAAAAAGATTTATTCATAACACACGTGAAAAGACCCAGGAAAACCGAGTTAATGATAAAAACGATAACTAAATAATGCTGAAAACCGATAAAAACCCTGAAAACCATACATTTCACACCCGAGCCCCAACTCTCGCGGCCCGGTACCGGTCCGAGGCCCGGGGGTTGGGGACCGCTGCTTTAGTAGATCCAAAACTTTTAGCCTAGAAAAGGTTCCCGTGCCATGGCCAGCGTCTTCTGTTTGTCCTCAGAAGTTTTTTGCAATTATGTTCTTCAAACCAGTTGAAATAGCTTTGGATTAACTTTTGAGATATTTTTCCTACATGGCCTCTTCTCAAAACATTTAAATCTTTCTGCCTTTTCTTCAGTTATCTTTATATCAGTTTAACTTAGTAATAGTTAAATACACAATGACCAGTTAATAGTGCATTAATTTGAGGTGTGTATTCCTTATAAACTCAACTGGGCACATTTCCAGTCCTCTGATCAAATTCTTCTGGGATGGGGTGGAAGTTGTGGTGCACCCTGATATATTGGTGGTTGTGAGAAATAGCTTGGTTGTTTTGAATATTTTCTCACATCATCACAAATAACTTTTTCATTTTAATGTTCAGACTTTTAAAGCTTGTTTTTTTTCTCACTTACAGGCGTATTAGGATGGAAAGGGAGCGTCAGAGAAAGCTTCAGGAAGAGAGGGAGGCCAAACAGAGGGAAGAGGAGGAGAGACAGAGACAGGCTCTCATCCAGGCTGCCAAGGAGCAGGCAGAACGAGAGCTCAGAGCAAGGGAGGAGGCAGAGCGGAGAAAACGAGAGGAAGAGGAGAGAAGGAAAAGAGAAGAAGAAGAGCGCCAGCGCCAAGCAGAGAGGCGGAGGCAGGAGGAGGAGAGGCGAAAGCTGGAGGAGGAGAAGAGGAAGCTAGAAGAAGAGAGGAGAAAACTGGAGGAGGAGAGGAGGCAAGAGGAGAAGAGAAGGAGAGAAGAGGAGGAACGACGCAGAAGGGAGGAGGAGGAGAGGAAGAGGTTAGAGGAGGAGCGGAAAAGGTTAGAAGAGGTGCGAAGGGAAGAGGAGCGCCGAAGGGAGAGAGAGGAGGAGGAGAGGAGAAGACAGAGGGCTGCTGAAGCAGCTTTCCGAGACGCAGAGGAAAGGCGAAAGCAGCAGGAGGAGGAGGAGAAGAGGAAGCGGGAAGAAGAGAGGAGAAGGCTTCATCAGCAGCAAGAGGAGGAGAGGAAGAGGCGTGAGGAGGAGAGAAAAAGGGCAGAAGAGGAGAGGAAGAGAAAGGAGGAGGAAGAAAAGAGGAGGAAAGCTGAAGAGGAGAGAAAGCGGAAGGAGGAGGCGTCTCGTCAGCAGAAGCAGCAGCAGCAGCAGCAGCAGCAACCACCTAAAACAGGAGGGAAGATTGATATTCAAGCTCTGCTGAGAGGGCTGGAGGAGCGGAAAGGTGTGAGGGACAGTTGCATGTTTTGAAACCTTTATCAGCTTCTGTTGTCTTTGTTTTATAGATCATTTCACTTTATGTCTGATTTGGTGCTACAGGCGGGCAGCCGAGGGCCAAGCAGCACAGGAAGTCAGCATCGCTCACATCCTTCAAAGCAGTCTACCCATTTACTGCACGAAACAACGAAGAGCTCAGCCTGGAAGCAGATGACATCATCGAGGTAGGAATAAAATCAGGGCTTCACTCTTTTCTTTTCTTTTTTTTCTTTTCTTTTTTTGTTTTTTGACCCTCAGCTTTTAACTTTCCTGTCTCAAACCTTCTCTCCTCTGCTCAGGTTGATGAGACGACAGAGCGAGAGGAAGGCTGGCTATATGGCAGCAAGCAGGGGACGATGGGCTGGTTCCCAGAGAGCTACGTCGAGAGAGTGGGCCCATCGAATACAGCTGATAGCACTGCTCCTGCTCCTCCTGCTAAACTACCGCTGCAGTCACAGCTTAGTAATGCTCTTAAGGCTGCCAAAGTGTCCGGGACAAAATCCGCCTTCACACCAACACATTCTCCAAACCCTGCAACTTCTGACAGTCAGGAACAGGTGAGGGCTTCACACAGCACTTACTGCTCCTTACAACTGTATAATTATTATGTGGATAGGTTCAACCTCTCTGTGCTGTTATCTTTTCATCAGCGGGTGGTGGGTACCCTGTTAGCCCAGGCGCTCTGTTCCTGGACAGCAAAGACAGATAGTCATCTGAACTTTAATAAGGACGATGTGATTCAGGTATTGGAGCAGCAGGAGAACTGGTGGCTGGGAAAACTGAACGACGAACAGGGCTGGTTCCCTAAAACATATGTGAAACCTATTGGAGAAGATGAGGGTTCAAAGTAAGTACTTGCTTATGTGTGGATCTTTACTTTTTCTAAGACATTAGCAGCTTTTTCCTTCTTGGATCTTGGATTTGGATTCAAAATCTCAACAGTCTTTTATAGCCTTGGAAATGGAAACACTTCCTGTTATTTTAGTTTCTGATAATACTAACAAGCCTCATTGTGAATGATTTTTTTTTTCCTTTCCTTTTAGGAGACACTTTCTTCCTGAAACTTTACTGTAATGAAATACGCAGCTTAAAGAGTAATTCAGGCTGCAAAAATGTTAATATTTGGTTTATTATGGTTTACTCTTTAAAAATGACTCTTATTACCATCACTATATATATGTATAAAAGGGGAAAAGACATCTCTTCTTGTTTAACATTAATCATTTTAACATTTCAACTTTTAGTTTTGAAGCAGATTTAATCTGAACTTCAGCCTTCATGACAATCTGAGGTTGTACACTTTGTATAATTTAGACCTCTTTTAGACCACTAATAAGCAGAAAATTCCTGTGTGGATGAACATTATTCACTACTGACACACGGCTGAATTCAAGTCTTAGTGATCATGTGAAAAATACAGCTTTTTACCTTTCATGTTCAATCAAATGTAAACATAAGGAGATATGTTTTCAAGGGTTGGCCAGCCTGATTTAGTCAGCCTGTTGTATGGTGGGAACGTTGGCCTTGTGTACTTATGTAAAATCAGTAAAACAGAAAAACATACTTCATTGTCTTTTGTTAAATTAATTAATCTCCATTAATTTGCATAAACTCTGTAATCCTGTGTGCCTTCCATATGTAAACTTTGGTGCCATTATCTCAAACTAAATCAGCCAAGTCAAGCCGCATGATAACATGACCAGTCACCTACATTCACAGGTGCAGCAGGATATGCACTTTGATTCCAGCTGGTATTGTAGGAAACTGAGCCTGAAGTTTAAGCTCTTGATTTACTAGTCAGTCAAGTGCAGGTTCATCTGTGTTTGTGACATTTGGCTGGTGACCAAAACAATGAGACAGCAGGTTTACGAAGGCCTGAGCAGATTCCCCAATGACTAGAAAGGTTTGCATTTCTTTAGTTAAACTTTGCGTGTGGCGTCATAAGTTTTGGGAGATGCATGGGTGGATTGCCAGACTACTATGCATGTATGTACTGTAATATTGTCTCTCTGTCTTTACAGTGTGAAGAGCTCCTCTGCTGATGCTCCTGATGGGGATAGCCTGCAGCTTGAAGGTAAAGTAAAAAGTCTTGTGAAATGTAAACTGCGCTTCCTGATATTGAATACAACTAAGAGTCCAAACTGGATGCAGTCTGTTTGACAGTCTGTTTGAAGAAGTCACTTGGATAAACAACGAAACGTTTCTCCCACTGAAAACTCAACGTCCAGATGAACAGAATCAACTTTTTGGGATCATATTTTAACATTTTATAAAGATTAAATGATTGAACAGCCTAAACTACACAATTTTTCCCTCCTTGATGTCGATTTGTTTAGCTTTTCACATTTATTTAGATAATATATGCTTCATTCAAAATTCAACATTACTGTTCATCTGCTATCATTCAGGATTTGTTGACTCTTTTAATTGGACTATGATGGAGGTTAGTTTATCGATGTAAACAACACGTGGGCCTATAGCTGTATTGTTGTGTTTTAGTCTTTTTGATTCTTTTTCTTTTCCAGAATTTGTGGCCTTGTACACCTACGAGTCTCCACAGTCCGGTGATCTGACATTCAAAGAGGGAGATGTGATCCTGGTGAGCAAGAGAGATGGAGAGTGGTGGAACGGCTCGATAGGAAACCGCACGGGCGTCTTCCCCAGCAACTACGTCAAACCTAAAGAGACAGATGTAAGAACACTCAACATAACACACACGGGGCATGAACTGGTCTGCTGCAATAAATAATTTGGGAAGGTCTTATTTAAGACTTCAGTTTGTGACAATTTCATAATAGATTGCATTATAACATAAAGGGTTATAAAAGAACACGTACTAAAATATAAACCCATCTTTTATTTTCAGACATCGAGCACATCTGGAAAGAAAAAGCAAGGTAACGTTCTAAATTTCAAACATGTTTTGTTGAAGTCCTGATTGTACATTTTTCTGAAATAAGTTGTTTGTGTTTTATGTCCACAGAGGTTGCTCAGGTTACTAGACCTCACGCTTCTACTGGTCCTGAGCAGCTGAATCTGGAAAATGGCCAGCTCATCCTCATCCTCAGCAAGGATGTCTCAGGCTGGTGGCTTGGTGAACTGCAGGTCAGTGTTTAGGGTTTTTTCAAGTTATAGTCTTTTTTTTTTTTCTTTTTTTTTTTTTTAACTAGGCTACCACAAGCCCAAAACAGATTCATCCTTGCTGACACAAAGGCACAAAGACAACTCGAATGTCTATAAGCACGAACAACGGTGAGAAGCCCATTAACCACAGGTCCTCACAGACTGAGTGGATTGGTCACCGTATAACAAGCACACTCATTTATAAAATTCCTCATTATTTAGCTTATAGATATTTCACACACACATATTCCACTATGAGTACATATTTCCAACATATAAGAAGTGTTTCAGTCACTCATCTTGTACTCATTCTGCCTACGTTTCTCCTTCCTCCTTAGAGAACCACTTTTATCTTTTTCTTTCCTAAACATAATTTATTATACTGCTGGACAACAAACACACAATGATCACACAAGCTGTTGCACAGTTGACGTCAACAGGTTCCTGCACATTTTCCACATTCCTGCACATTAGAATTCCCAGCATGCCCATCTGCCTTGTTCAAAGATACTTGGTATCTGTGATACTGGGCCTATTTACTTGGTTCAAATCAGCAGAGGTGGGACCAAGTCATTGTCTTGCAAGTCTCAAGTAAGTCTCAAGTCTTTATCCTCAAGTCTCAAGTCAAG